CAATTTACTGATAAGGAAGCTGAAGTACAGACACAATGTGACCTCACCAAAGTGATGTTGTGTTTAATAAATACACAGCCAGAACGATATATCACATGGGCTGGCAATTTTGACACTTCCATTGAGCACACAATCCAGGACAGAAGACTCCCAATGGTTCCAGTTTCTGAGTCCCTAAACCACTAGCCATTCTCCACTTAGCCTTTTGGAGAACTACTTTATCCAAGTTTTATTAGTGTCCATTGTGACTTGTAATTTTACCTTTTCTTCTTTGTGCTCTTCTCCTGTCAGACTTTAGCTATATTTTCTGTTGATGTAACCATTCCATATGACAATGCTGCATTTCATCCAAACCATTCCCTTGGAGATTTCAGGCAATACATTATTCACTCTACACTTCTTTTTCCATTTATTGTACTTTGAATAGTCAACTATAGCAATCACTATTACTGATTTTTCATTATATGGCCAAAGTATTCTAGTTTTCTGATTTTCATAATTTCTTGATGTTTATTTTATTCATACTTTTTTGTTCACCACTCTTTTGTCAGATTATCATAGTGGTTCCAAAGCCTGATAGTCTATAAAATGACTTAGCCTTTCCAATGTGACAAGGGCCAACCACTGGTAATGTCATTAAGCAGGACACTTTAAGAATCAGCCACAATATCATGGAATGTGGTATTCAATTTTTTTTAAAAAAAAACCATCAAAATAACCAGAAAGGAAACACGTATCTATAAAATTAACAACTTTTCAATTAAAATCCACAAAGCACAAATAAAATCATTTAAAACACAAAGCAAGGCAGGATCACTGTGATGAAGTCGGTAAATAGGATGTGAAAAGGAACTTTAGTCCAAAGGAAAAGTTAGATTTTTTGTAATAAAATATTGGCTGCATGTCTGAAGCTCAAACATTAGAGAGCAAACCAAACTTCTTTAGGAAGGGAGTTTCACCATAGAAGTACTGCAAGTAGAGGAGAAACAGCCAAACACACTTTTCTGGAAAGTGATAGTTCATGAAGCCACTCTCTGAGGTTGCTTACCATAAGGTAAGTTGGTCAATTGCTAACCCCAGACCTTTGTGTTTAGGCCATTTAATTGCATCTAGAAATAAATTGGAAGTCTGTGCAAATGGTACAAGACAAGAGGGATATGTTCAAACATACTCTTGTGTCTGTATTTTGTATCAGATGAAGTTTCCAAATGTTTTTCAAAGGCAGGTCTACTTAGAAAGCCTTCCTGGAAAGATACTACAGCTTGAGGTAGTCCACCAAACAATGGCCAATGATGGCCTCTGTGTTAGGTCTACTCTGGGAGTTAGTCCAAACATTAAAGGAGCCATCCTGTGTGCTGAACTTAACTTGGGCATAGAGGTCAGCACTTTGCTCATTCTTTAATGTTCAGACTAAAACCTGAATTGCTACTTCATTTTATAATAATTATATACTTTATTCATATTCGCTCTGTCTGCCCGGAGGGAGTCAGAGCAGATTACAGAAGCATACATGACAAATATTCAATGCCATAACACAATTAACAACAAAGACAATAAGAGGAAAGGCTTCCCACTTTTTTTCATCTCTGGCATCTGGAAGCTGTGCTCAACTCAGCCATGGGGTGGTTCTGTTTCAGTTTCCACACAAAGAGGCTAAACTGTTTGATGCCTTCCTGATTGAATCTTGCCAGTATGTTTTTTCAGCAGTATCTATTTTATCTACTCACTTGCTTTGTTTTCGAACTACTAGTTAAACAGAAGCTAGGGCTGATGATGGGAGCTATCTCCACCTGTGGCTAGAACTATTGACCTTCCGGTCAATAAGATTTACAATAGCTGGTGGTTAACCCTCTGTGCTAGTCTCTGCCCCTTTCTCTTTTTTTATATGCACTGTTGCTTAGGGATGGTCTCCTTTGTACAGTTTGTGCAAGGCAACTCCTTTTAAAACTTGAGTCTAAAACTCAGTGGATTTGCCACCCCAGTGATGTGGAATCCAGAGTGAATTGGATTTCTCCTAAAATATAGAATATTTCATCATCCCTAAAATTTGTAATTTTAAGTTGAAAGAGAGGAATAGCATAGCATTTTACCTCCAAATACACAGTTTTGATCTGTGACCTCTATATGTGTAGAAAAATCTAATAACTGTAAAAGCATGGGAAGGGGAACAAAACTGTGCCTTTGCTCATCTGTTTCCTTTTTTAAAACAAATAGACACTGTGGAGATGGTTTAATTACCATAAATGGAAAACCTTTTCAGAACAAATGGAGGTGATTACTTTAGAGGCAGCTTGCCTGTGCTTACTTGATAAACAAGTTAATTCTTCAGGAACCCTGCTTTTAAGCCTACTTATACAACAGCCCATATTCTCCATATTTGTATGTAAGCCATATTCGTGTATTATTGCTGCCTGATATTTTGTACTTTGCAGACAAGTCTGCTGCTATGTAAGTGACCTGTGAAGGACTTCACTATAACTTTTAGCTGTTTAGAAAAAGGAATTCTGCTAGCAGGGAAATGTCTGTGTCTCTCTTAACTGGTTGTTTTTCGCTTCCCAGCAAGATTAGCAGCAGTCTGTACAAAAGCCTGCCTTTACCCCCCTTTGATCCTGAATTCTGAAATAAACAAAAAGCCTCCATGTCTCTGATAAATGTTACCAATGTTTGTTTATCAAACTCCTTGAGAATTTATTTGTGGGGATTTCAATCAAATCTGGCTTCCTAATTGTTGAAAAGGCTGTGGATTAGGAAACATAGCTTTATTGTTACTTAACATTTAAACATAGTGCCTGGAAGGGCTGCTTTTAGTGTGGTGCTTTTTCATTTTCCTGCATCCTTGGGGAAAACAGTGCTATTCTATTGATCTCTTATCCCATTCCAAGGGAAGCTCCAGGCTTTACATGTCAAATAGGATTCGAGCATGTATATCACGGCATGCAGTAAACATGTCATGTTTGAACAATCCAAGCATACTTCAGCCATTTGTAGCTCACACACTTTTGCATGGAACTGGGGCCATGCTTGCTGGGCCCCTCCTCAATCCTCCTTCCATTGACCACACTTGGGTTAGGAATTGCTGAAGTCCACAGTATTTCTGTCTTTTTAATTATTTGTTGTCAGCTACCTTTGATCTAGAAACCCAGTGTAGTGTAGTGGTTTGAGTACTGAACTAGGGTTCTAATCCTTGCTCAACTATAGAAACTCATTGAGTGATCGTGGCAAGTCATGGTTTCTCTTCAAAGGCAACCCCCTTCAGAACAAATCTTGCTATGGAAACACTATGTGGATTACCAGAAAGTGGAAATTGCTTGAAGACACAACAATATCATCATCATCATCAACAACAACAACAACACCTCTTGATTCTGCTCATTTCTCATCCCATACCACTGGATACTGCAAATTTCTAGTGTGACTCCAGGATAATATGTGGGCTATCAGTATCCAGCCATCTAAGACCACAAGAAGGCAATGTTTTCCAAAGACATTGACAATCAATGCCCATAATTTATCTATTTATTTATTTTATGTAAATTTACAGAAAAAAATGGTTACAATAAAGCCAATGGATAAAGGTAACAACATAATTATAATGAATATAACATAATAACATACCGTATAACCCTCATATCTGTAAGACCAGTACCTCAGTTTCATCAATCCATATCTAGGAAAATAGTCCTCCTGTGGCATTTTCAGGGCCAGTAGTTCTCAACCTGTGGGTCCCAGGGTGTTTTGCCCTACAACTTTCAGAAATCCTAGCCAGGTTACCAGATGTTAGGATTTCTGGGAGTTGAAGGCAAAAACATCTGGGGACCCACAGGTTGGGAACTACTGTTCTAGGCCCTACAGCATGACTGGTGTTCTTCAGTCAGAAGTTCTTCATTTCAATATCGTTTGCTATCACCCATAGTTTCAAGTACCCATGCAAAGACTGGGAACATGATCCCACTGGATCCAGTGGTTATAATGTATTTGATACGTGTATGTTTATATGTCTGGGAGTGAATATATTTGAGGAACTAAGTGCATAATTTTCATTCTCAGGTGATACTGTTCTGAATAATATTACTTACTGATAAAAATGGAAAGTATGAGAACCAGAAACTTTCCTGTCATTTACCAAAGCGGATTTTTCTCTTCTTGAAATGGGTTTAGTCGGGGGATACTTTCATGGGGAGTGTCTCATTAGCAAATTTTAAATAACTTCACTTTAAAAGGCTTGGAGGTTGATTTTGCTCACACAAAGAAGCCAAATTTCCAAAAATAATAACTCAATGCAGCTACCTGTTTGTCTATGTCTGGTCTATAGGATTAAAACAAACAAGGTGGGGGTTGCTCTCTTTTTCAAACTGTCCTCCTCCACAAGTGAAGGAATGGTCCACCCTCCTTTGCCATATGCGTATTGAAAACCTGTTCTGAATACATAAATAGAATAAAATGAGCATTATGTTTTATTTCAGCCCTGCCTGCGTGAATGTATAGTCTATCTATGTTATAACAGACACAGCAAAGAGATTTACTGATTATTAACAGAACAATTATCCAACGGAATCACTGTTTCACTGCTGTTGGGTTTAATTTCAAGATTTCATATCTATCATGGTAGTCATTTTGCTATGCAACATTTAATCTTTATTTCATAAAAGGAATGTGATAGAATATTTGTACTTTTCAGGAACAATAGACATTGTGGTCTGTTTTGCAAAATGTTTGAGGTGTAGTAAAAATGTCACATATGAATGGTTATGGTGGTTTTATTTTCTTGGTTTTACAAAATTAATTAGTAGCTCTGCCCTTCCAAAGATACATATATGGAACATGTCAAACCTACTTTTCCTAAGTAAACAGAGTTCTAGGTTCTGAAAACAAAAGAATTAAGATTATATCTTTGACAGGAAACTAATCAACATACTTAATAGACATCATATGTGATGGATGCAGTAAGAATGTTGTTCACTGATGCTAAAAGCAGATTCCATCTTTGATTTCTTCCATAGCTTTTTGGAGACTGCATCATATTTCTGTATGAAAGCAAAAATGGGTGAGAAGGAAGTATCCCTAAATGCTTTCTTCAGCATTTGGCATGAATTCAGCTCTGATTGCAAAGAATTATGGAAAAAGGAAAATAAGCTTATTTTGCAAGAAAGGTAGGTAGTGTCATTTCTTATGGTTTTAAACTTATTTGAAATGCTAGGATAAATACAAGGATACACAAAATATAATGTCTCTCTCTGTGTGTCTCTGTCTGTCTCTCTATCTGTGTAGTACATGGTTTTCTTTGCTCATACTCTCTTACCTATGATTGGCTTCAAAGTTTCAGATTTCCTATTTTTCAGAATGAGACTTCAGTACCCCCTTCTGTGCTCAGAAGAAGTGGTGGTTCATAGACTAATGCTGATCCGTTTCATATTTATTGGCTTTTTGTCCCTTATGAATTATCAGGAAGGGAAAAAGAAAGAGTTTCATCAGTGGATACAAATATAGTATCACTCTCTTAGACATTGGCAAAGGTGGGGGCTTCCAATCTCCCATATCCAATGGCTTAAGAAGCATAATTATAGAATGCACCTAGAGACAAGCCATGGAATAGCAATGGTAAGAGGATGGGAACTTGGTCAGTTAAAACACATGAAAAAACAAATTATTCTCAGCCCAGAGAAGATAAAATCCTCAGTGGAAAGGTTTTTCCTAAAGCAGCTGAACTGGCTTTCTCAATAGTATCTTTTCAGTTGTATCTGAAGACATTTCTTTTGACAGAGCTTTGGTAACTCACTCTTTATAGAGAAATGCTTTTCAATGTGATAAATTATCCATATTTCTTATATGTAGTACTTTTTCATGGATACATATAGCTACATCTTGTATTTCAGATCACACAAAATAGTCTCGAAAATCCCTTCCAACTCTTAAACTAACATGCAAAGTTGGAAAGTGTGCAGCCCTCCAGATATTGTTGGAATGCCATACTCATAATCCCTTGTTTGCATGTCTAATTATAAAGAATGCTATGAACTATAGCTCAACAATATCTTGATGGCTGCATTTTGCACAGTAAAACATTATGGGGAGATTACCTCCCTCCAAAATCACTTGGCAACATTGATAGGAGAATAATTACCTGGCACCTAGTATTAAGAGAAAAGGGTATAGTAGAACACTTTCTGCAGCATTTACAATATTGGGGCAACCCCCCATTTTGGTTATAGTTTTTTTGAAAAATTCTGAAGGGGCCCATGTCATATATAAATAAACTTTTGTTAGTTTTCTTTTGTCATATTATTTTCCCATTCACACCAATGGGATCTGGGGATCCTCTCTCCCTCATTTTAGGGCTATTGAGACGAAACTTACTACAATTATAGTACAAATTTACCACTGTAAGCTCTCCAAGTTTGAAAACATTTCTGTCATTCACTCATTTTAAGGACATTTTTGAAATTTTTATGCACAATGCTTGTTTTTTTTTTAAAAAAAACTACAACATCTATTCCCTTGAATGTCTCTACAATGGCACAACATCACAAGGACTTCAGAAAGATTTGCATATCCAGTAATTTTAAGGAGATTTTAAAAGTTTTGTTCTCTCTCTCTCATAACTCCATAAAACACAGACACTTGGGAGGGGAGGTGATGCTTTGCATAGTTTGTCTCCTGTATCGCATGTCAATAAAGCTGATATGGCTGGCTGGAGAGACTGGAAGCTGGCTGGTTCAAGGCGGCTCCACGTATAGGATCAGAGGGAAGGACAGCATTGATATGGCCCACCTCAGCTGTACTGCATAAGGGAGGCAAACTAGAGGATGGAAAAATTCAGCTCCTAGTAGTCACTTGTCGCATGCTACCACAGATTTCCTCCTCTCTCCCACCTTGCTCACAATGTTGACCAAAGAAACGCCAGGAGTGCCCCTCTTTTCCCCTCTCCCTAAGCCCTGATAAGCTGGAAAGAGCATGTGACATGCCAAGTTTGCCTGTGCCGCTCAGTAGAGTTTGCTTGTGCTGAAGAAGAAGCTGGCTCACTGTGACTTATGAAAGTAATGAAGTGTTTCACGAAATCTCCATAGATAACTGTTTAAATTCATTTGGGGGGGGGGGTACATGGCGCTGGTTTTGTAATGCAGCTTGTGAGTACACATTTACCAAATCACTTATGATTTATGACCCATGTCTGGATTTTTGCACAGCCCTAGTAAATATATTGTTATTTATTTTTATTCATCTTAACTGGGAAAATGCAGGATATGAATCTTTAAATAATAACAATTTATGTTGGTTGAAAGACTCATGTTCCTTCTCACTTTCTCACTATTGATGATAAATAAAGAGTGTTATGGCCTGAAACACCTTAAAGGCAAACACATTTGTTATGCCATAAATGTAGATATTGAAGATTCTAGTACAGCATAACTGGTGCCCTAATAAACTACTTAATCATTTAGGTGTTAGAAAATGTCTTGACTCAGCTTGGGGGATTTTTCCTGATAGCTAAGAGTACAAGAAGCTATTCTGTGTGGAACATGCCCTGGTGGGTTCCTGTTGCCTTTCAATTCCAGTGGCTTTAAGCAATATCCAAATTACTGACCTGAAGTTCCATAGCGAATGTTCATTTTCTTAAGTAGAAAATACTGACAGCATAGACTCACTCTTTTCTTCTTCCCAATTGTGTATTGACCAGGCTAGATGGTCAACATCTCTACAGTCATCTAGTATGACTACTTTACTTAAAGCCTGAATGAATTTGTGAGTCCCTGGTGTAATGCAACTATAAACAGCAGTACAGGCATCACACTCAACAACCACAAGTTTAGCTGTCATGCATTCATTGTTAAGACTGGAAAGTCAGTAAATGCTTTGACATATCAGTAACCAGTTAATACTAGGTAGTCAGAAATTTTCCTAAATAGCCAATAACAGCAGCAAAGAAAGTTACTGATATCAAGCTTATTGTTCTGTTGGGTTCATGCAACTTTGGTCTTATAGTCTAGAGTATTTTCTGCAGAACTGTGACTAGAGGTAATGGATCCCTTTCTTGTCTTGTCTTCTTGTTGTTTAACACAGTATGATTCCTTATTATTGTTCAATAATGTTTGTCGTATTTACTGCTATTTCTGGATAATTGGAGAGGCTTGATCAGGCATAGAAGTAAATTAAGCTCAGCTTCTGCTGATGAATGTGTCAGCACCAACCAGTCATGGACAGCACTCTATGAGACTTGCAGCTGCTGTCTTCAGAAAGCACATTGGCCCCAGACCATGCAAGGCCTTAAAGGTGAGTACCATCACTTTGAAAGTGATCCGGTGCTCAATTGGTAACCAATGCAGCTGTAGTAAGATTGGTGTTATGTGGCATCTCATCGGAATTCCCGCAAGAAGCCGAGCAGCTGCGTTTTGTACCAACTTGAGCTTCCGAATCACCGACAGAGGGAGGCCAATGTAGAGGGCGTTACAGTAGTCCAGTCTTGAGATGACCGTGGCCTGGATCACCGTAGCTAGGTCGTCCCTGGACAGGTAGGGGGCCAGCCGTCTAGCCTGCCGCAGGTGAAAGAAGGCGGTTCTGCTCACGGCGGAGACCTGGGCCTCCATTGTCAGCAGAGGGTCCAAAAGGACTCCCAGACTCTTTACCAATGATGACGGGTGTAACGCCTCGCCATCCAGGGTGGGCAGACGGATGTCCCCACTGCCCGGTCCACCCAGCCATAGGATCTCCGTCTTTGCTGGATTCACCCTCAACCTGCTGGCACGCAGCCATCCAGTAACGGCCTCGAGGCACTGATGGAAACAATCGGGTACAGAGTCCGGTCGGCCTTCCATCTTCAGCACCAGCTGAGTGTCATCGGCGTACTGATAACACTCAAGCCCAAAACCTCGAACCAGCTGAGCAAGTGGTCGCATATAGATGTTAAACAACAGAGGGGAGAGAATGGCCCCCTGAGGAACCCCACAAGATAGAGGGGACCTCTCAGAGACCAGGCCTCCCCTCTCCACTCGCTGTCCACGGTTGTGAAGAAAGGAGGACAGCCAGTTTAAAGCTGTCCCCCTGATTCCAGCAACAGCAAGGCGGTGGGTCAAGAGATTGTGGTCGACTGTGTCAAATGCTGCTGTGAGATCCAATAGCACAAGCAGCGCTGACCCGCCCTGGTCAAGCTGGCATCGAAGGTGATCCGTGATGGAGACCAGCACAGTCTCTGTCCCGTGCCCCGCACGGAAGCCGGATTGGAAGGGATCTAGTCTGCCTGTGTCGTCTAGGAATTGCTGCAACTGCTCCGCTGCTGCCCTCTCAATCACCTTGCCCAGGAACGAGAGATTTGAAACTGGGCGGTAACTGGAGGGAACCGAGGGATCTAAATCTGGTTTCTTCAGCAAAGGAGAGACCACCGCCTCTTTTAAACCCTCTGGAAAGACTCCTTGCTCAAGGGAGCTGTTTATGATCTTCAACAGATGAGGTGGTGTAATCCTGAGTTTTGTTAAGAAATCTGATAGGCACATTCACTGAAGATCCAATCATACTTTCCAAGACTTCATCAAATTCATGTGGTGAAATGGTTGCCACATTCACTGATGATCCAATCTTGAATGTCCATATGAATGTCTTTGTTAAGGGAAAGACAAAAATGAAAACCATTTAGATTGACGAACACGAAGTCCCAGTTCTGACCAGTGATGGATTTGAGGCAATTGGCCATCGTTGATTAAAATAACAAGGAATATGTCCATTGATGCTGCAAAAGGGGCAGATAAGGAAGTTGATTATGATTCCTTCCAAAAACATTTATTTATTCCAAAGCCATCATCTCCATGTTCCTTAAGGAAGCAGTTCTCTTTTCCTTTCACAATATGACATCCTTCAGTTTGGTCTTATCAGAACGACGTAAGCTATGAATTGCATTAATTGTTACTTCATTGGAAAATCATTTCATTGGGTTTACATCCTTGCATTCACCTGGATATTTTTCCATGTTCAAGGAGAATTTCAAGCCAGGTGTGTGTATGTGCGTGTTTTGTGTGTGTGTGTTTGTATCTGAATGACTCACTTGTTTGTTTTTAAAAAACTTTGCTCTGAAACCTTGAACCTTTTTTTTTTCTTTCCAGAATTTTATTTTAAGTGCTGACTTCTAAAAACAAACAGAAAACCTCCAAATTCAATGTGGTAT